TGCATGTGACCTCACTCGTATATATTCAGTTTTCCTTTGTATCCAGTGTTGTCACTGTCTTTAGGTTTTGGAGTGATTGTTTTTGCTATTTTTCTTTTAAAAAACATGCTTCTAGGTTTGATTTTTTTCAAATGTAAAATGACAATGGCAAGAACACAGCATATTAACACACGATACACCATTTGGTTATTTCCTAATAAAGAAGTGACATTTTCTAAACTAACCCCTTTTTTCTAAAAGTATCCCTATATAACTTAGATCTGTAAGATTAAACATGATATAGAAGCACAGATACACACTATACCTTGTGAGAAGAATTTAGTGTTACCTTGGCACTATCCACGCCTTTCACAGTGTTTGTAGAATTCAATTTTCTCTTTTATTTCTCTCCTTTTAATTAAATGCTATATCCGCATTGTCTACCACTCTTGTCTTTTATTCATGTCAGAAGTCTTTATCTTTCACCTCTACTACACAGTTACATTCAAATTGTACCCGCTAATATCTTGTTATCATATTGTTGTGGGATGAATCATGCTATTGAAGCAGATATACACATGGTGTCATGTGAGAAATGTGGGGGAAACTTCTGAAGCAATTGGAGTCAGGACTCAGAGAGACACAAGGAGAGCTGGAGCTTTGATGGCAAACACTGACGGTTTATTTGGAGCTTCGGCTGGAGAATTCACAAGACATGTCACAGGCCACGAGTTGACCACACGGTTGCGATGCCACAATCAATTCTGAAGAACTCTACCCCAGACCCATGTATTTAGCTAGTTCTGAGAGAATAATCCACATTGTGCATAACAAGATAGAATTATAACACCTCTATCAGCTGACACCAACAGGCAGGAACAGGGACACAAAACACTGAGAGCACAGCAGCCAAGGTTGCAGGTACCTGTGCTCAGTCAGGACAGTATGAACTGATAAACTGGGTCAAAGTTATGGGCCTTGGAAATTATTTCCCCATCAAGAAACATATCATATATCATACTTGGGGAAAAACAAACAAAAATGTGTTAAAACAGGTTGTTGGAACAATGCTGACACGCTTACTTGTTGTCCACAATGATCCAAAAGGCAGTGGTCAGCAGGCTCCCCAAACAGAGGAGAGTGATCATCAAAAAGATGGATAACTTCTCATGGTGTTGCTTCATCCCGATCTCTTTCTGCAAACACACTCGTCCCCTCACCTTCTGCCCACACACACCTTGTATCTAGATGTCAAACTTTGGATTCTCTGCTCTCCCCTCAGTTTGTAGCCTATCTCTTGCCTCTTTTCTCAGGCAAGTCCTCTGTCTTCTCTGCACTTTGTCTGTGTCTTTCCCCTTCTGTTTGTGAGTATAAGAACTGATATCCTATAGTTTGTTGAACTACTTTAGTCTTCGTCATGTGTCTTTGGTCCACCCATCTTCTATATGTCCGCCCCCTCCATTTTTTTGGATACTGGATACTCATGCAATACAATGCATCGTGAGGTGATAGTAGCAATACAGATAGAGGGTTATTAAGGAAAGTTAACCATCTGTGGCATCAGGATAACTGTAAATGATTCATGTCAAAATATTATATTCAGGGAATACTTTCTTCTTGTGGAAATTAGACCATAGATAACATCTGCCTTATTGTTGGGAGAAGGAATGGAAAGGAAGTGGTTCCAGACTTCATTTCAGCTCTCTGTTATTGCTTTTCTCTTTCCCTCTGGAGAATTGGTTCCCTGGCTCCATGATGCTGCTTCCACCCTAATAAGCCACTGGTGATTTACTGAGAGTTTCCCAGTCAGTCCATGGCGGCCAATCAGCGGCCCTCCTTTAATTCTTCCCAAGTGCAAAAAAATCGTAACTATTTGTCATTGTCTTTTGTTGAAGGGAAGCAAACGAAGCAAGTGGTGACAGGCTCAGAGTGATGCTTTACAGTTGGAGCCACTAGAGGGCAACCCCCTGTCAAATGAGGGAGCCCACAGAGAAGTGAGGAAGGGATGTTTTGTGGAGGGGAATGGGGGTTGATCAATTGTCCAGGTAAAACAATTGCACTGTAGGGACTGAAATGAGAAATGTAAGTGAGGTAAGCCAATAACCAACTAATACATTATGAATCCATGCATTTAAATACATTTCCCAGTTTAATAGTTAACATTTGGTTTTCAAAAATGATCTATGTGACGTAAAATAAATTAAATCAAGAACATAATGCATATAATAACTTTACAAAATTATGTTAATAAATCATAGGATTATGTGGTTTTTCAGGCGAATGTGTGGTTTGTATGCAGAAATTACAATGCATTCCAATGTGAAATCTTGGCAGGCACTTCATTGTGCAAGCTGAGATGTCTGGGGGGAAAAAATGGTTGCCTGGTTAGTTGAATTAATTGAATAAATTCCACTCCAGCAACAACGACAACTTTTTTGTAATAAATATTTATTCATTGCTTCACTTTGACTTCATTTTTCCCTTGCATCACGTGCATTAAAAAAAAAATCACACAATTCTAAAACTGGCTTTCCGATAGTTTTCAAGTTTGGTCATCGCTTGTCAAATGTTAAGACTTCATAAGTATCAACATGAAATACAATAAGACCCACTTTAAGTTTTGATGCAAATGTGACTTCTTACCCAAAGATGAACATTTTCATCAAAAGAACACAATTCACAATCATTATATCACCTTATATTTGAGTCAGTCATTGATTTAGCAATTACATAAACTTGAAAAGTATTCATTTCCAAATGTTTATTGTATTAACATGTGAATGTTGCAATCTTATGACCATCGATATTGTTGTCACTGCAGTAAGAAGGGGTAGCACATTGTAAAACAGCCTCAGCAGAGTGACTTTTGTGAGGAGGGTCCTCCTGTGTTTGGTAGTGTAATTATTACTTTTTCTTTCTGTTGTGTCTTTGTTTAGTCCTTGGTTCTGAGACAATAGGGTCCTCTGATGACTGCAGGTCCCACAGAGGGCAGCCCTGATGGTTGAGGCTACTGGGACACATGAGGCTTAAATTGTGCCTTAATACATCCAGCAGTGTCAGTGACGTGTAGAGGAAAGAACATTGTAAAAATCATCTTCCACAACCAGCAACCAGTGAATAAAGTAATATGTGTGAGTACCATACATTTCCCCTTGAAAATGTTAGAATGGTTAAGATTGTTATGCAATGTATAACACAAATGTCAAAAGATGACTGTTGGGGAATATTTTCCAAGGCCCATAACTTTGACCCAGTTTATCAGTTCAAACTGTCCTGACTGAGCACACGCACCTCGTAACCTTGGCTGCTGTGCTCTCAGTGTTCTGTCTCCCTGTTCCTGCCTGTTGGCATCAGCTGATAGAGGTGTTATGATTCTATGTTCCTGCCTGTTGACGTCAGCTGATAGAGGTGTTATGATTTTATCTTGTTATGCAGCATGTTGATGATGCTCTCGGAACTAGCTAAATACACGGGTCTGGGGTAGAGTTCTTCAGAATTGACGTGGCAACTCTACCGTGCAGTCAGATCGTGGCTGCTGTGACTTGTGATGTGAATTCTCCGGCCGAAGCTCCAAATAAACCATCAGTGTTTGACATCAAAGCTCCTGCTCTTCCCGTGTCTCTTTCCTGAGTCGGTGACTCCCACTGCATTGCTACACAGAAGTTTCCCTTACAATGACTATTTACTTAAATGTAAACTAAAGTGTTTTAGACAGACAATCTTCCTGTTAAGGAGGTATTTAATTAAAAAACATTACGTTTGATGCAAAACAAGGCACTAAACCCTCCCAACGTTTCTATAAAGGATTCCATTTAAAGGTCACCTATTGTCCAAAATCCACTTTTTCATGTATTTTATACATAAACATGTGTCCCGTCTGTGTAATGGGATTCTAAAAGTTTCAGAAAAAAAGATTCACTCACTTTTTGTCCTGATCCATTTATATAAAAACCTGTCTGAAAATGAGCTGATCAGATTTTGGCCATTTTATGATGTCATAACGATTTTTTGGCTTGTGTAACCATTAGCCAATAACCAACCAAGGTAACACCCGCCCACCTTATCACCTGAATCTCCTCCTAGAGCACCACTGTGTTATTTTTAACCAAATCTCTCTCAGAGGGGCGTGGGGAGTGGCACCTTATTTTCATCTAAAGTAACAGACAGAGAATCAGCACTTTTGAAACAGGGCTGAAACAGAGGGGTTTATGGGATGCTACAATGCACGATCTGATGGGTATTTCAAGCCAAACACTTCAGAGACATGTTTTGTATATATCTGAGACCTATTATATATTGATGACAAACAGTATAATAGGGGATCTTTAAATCAAACCAACTCCCTCCAGACTCCAGCTGGAACATTTTTGGTAATAAATACATTTTTACACACACCACAAGACTTTTAACATAATTCTACAGTCTTAAAGGTCCCATGTCATTCTTTTCAGGTTATTACCCGTCCCCTGGTGTGTTATGAAGGCTTTTATGCATGTAAACGGTCTGCAGAGTCAAAACCCTCAAAGTACACCCTGTAGCGAGTAAAACTCTAAAACAGAAAATACCTCCCCAAAACGCCTCGTTGGAGATACGTCATTGTCCATTTGATTCTTCCGGGTACGCATGATGTCATCCGTACCCGGAATGAAATGGACCAATCCGTGGAGCCGTTACGTTAAGCCCCCGCTGATTGGTCCAAATTGACCAATCCACGGACTTCCTCACACACTCAGTGCAGGCAGCTCTGCTGATTTCTCCTCCCTGGCTGCAGGCTCATAACAGACAGTTGGGATCGCGGCGAAATTCTCTCTGCAGACCCATTCTCACAGCGTTGATCAACCTTTTTCTTACTCAATATCAAGCCACACTTATTGTTTTTACTTCGGCTGTGACTTTGTGTGTGCTCAGGATGAGTTTGGCTGTGTTTCGCTGTGTATCGCTAAACAAGGAAATCACACCTCCGCTCAGCGCGATTCACAACGTCCCGACTGGTCCCGACCAATCGGAGCACACTGGGCTCACAGGGAGGGGGGGGGGCAAGAGCTGCAACGAGCCGTTTAGTGGAGAGAGTGAATACTGCTGAATACACATACTTTACAGAGATGCTGTATGCGAAACCAATGTGAGTTTGGAAAATTGCACAGTATAAATCTATTCTAGTAGACCTCAACAATGGAATTATGATCAGTGGAAATGGCCATGACATGGGACGTTTACGATTGTTTCTTATTTATATCAGTGCAAATGTCCTGGTAAATGACTCAGCATTACATCTAAATTCACAAATCTACCTTGCTTGAACACACCAATTCCATGTTTCAGCCGAATACATATGTACATTCATTCAAAATGATATGAAAAACGTCATGAGTGGCTGGGCTACAAAAAGGCACTTTGACACTGTCCTGCCAGCTATTTTGGACCTGGGAACTACTTTTCACCTGGTTGACAGTCTCCCAAGTGAAGCCTGAGCACCCCCTGACTGTGCAGCTGCAACAAGAGGTCAAACTCAGCAGGCATGGAGTGAAATTTAGTTTTAGTTTGTCTGTCATCGTAGTAGTGGTTAGTCAGTGCATGGAGTCCATGTGGGTGATTACCGAAGGGCCAGAACCCGTATAGATGCACGTTGGCACAGTGTTCCAGCGCTATGCTAGCCATGATAATGCCCGTGCTGAGGCGCACTGCTCGTAAGCCTCGGGAGCGCCAGAAGAGGGCCAGGCTCTGAAGGTACTCAGGGTTGAAGAAGATGGGCTGGATGGGACTCTCAAAGTCCTCAATGCTGTATACTGCCCTCATGCACACAGGAGTGTTGTGGCCATAGGAGAAGGCGGGAAGAAGCAGACGGGACTTGCCGTAGCTATGTAGACTCTCCACAAATGGACGCCGACGCCCCATTAGAGCCCCATACCTGAAAATAAAAAGGAGATGTCAAGCAACAACACAAGGGGAACACTCTATTGGTGCAATGAGACTAATTTATTTGCTTACTTCTCTAGGAAAATGCTTGGGTTGGCTGTCACAATGTCAGTCTTGGTGCCCACATGTTTCTCATAGCCTTTTCCTAAAGGAGGTAGGTTGCACCTGAAAAGACAACAAAAACGATATGTAAAGATTATTTCATAAAATGAATGACCGAGACAAGTTTATTTCTGTCGATGACATTTTCATCAGCCTTTCAGTCCTCTAATATTAACAGCTTTCTCACCTGATAACAAACTGTGCTGAATCGATGATGTCTCCACAGCTGCTGTTTGTCAGAATCCCTCCATTCCCGACAACAGCACACGTGTCCCAAGTTTTATTAGGAAACGGATGCTCCTGGAAATAAATCCAGCAGGAATTGTATTACAAAACAAAAAGCTTTTCTATTTGTCATTAACTGTGGTTGAAGGATGGAATTCAGAGGGTCAGTGTATGTTTTGGTCATTGGATTTTCTTTTTACAAATGGATATTCAAAAACAAAAAACGACTCGATATTTGATTTTCGTTTTAAAATTGAAAAAACAAAATTGAAATACAAGGCGTTTTTCTTTATCATGGTCAAAAAGGGATTTACTAAACTTAAAAAACAGGATGATTTTCATTTTCTACTTCTCAAAACAAAAAATAAAATCAATAGAAAACAGAAACAAAAAAACTACCTTTTTTCATATTCTGCTACCGGAAGTTACCTTACAAAATAAGAGCGTAGATGAGGACGATCAATCCTGTATCTACGGTCCATTTGTTTTCACAATGAAAACAGCCAAGAAACATATTGAGCCCAGAAAATGAATGTTATTAAGGGCTGTGAATATAATAGACCTGTGTCTAAAATGGACAACATTGTTAGGAGATTTCAACTATACAACGATTCTGCACTGCGGTCAACTCAGCCGTCTGTCTCTCGAGTTTGTTTTTTCAAATCAGCTGCTCTTCATTTTTTCCCCTGCTATATTCAATGAGTGATACAAATATTTGTTACCACAAGTTCTTAATAAAACTGACACTGTTGGACTCTGTACTAGTTTGACTGCTACCAGAAATGAAATGAAGTAGGCTACTTTTACTGTGTACTTTTTGAGTAATCCCCTGTCAAAGTCCCCTCCATAGTACATAATGCATGTTTGTCTTTGATGAGTGATAAAAAGACAATTTTACCATTAGTTCTTAATGAAATTGAGTTAGCCTACTACTAACAATACATTGAAGTAATTTTACTGTGTACTTTTTGAGAAATCCTCTGTCAAAGTCCCCTGCTGAGAACAAAATCAAGCCACTTCTGCTAAGTTTGATGAGGGAAGTATTTTTTGTTGCCATTAGTTCTTCCTGAGATTTATCCTGTTGGAATCAGTATACTGAATACCCCCACAAGTACTGTGAAGTACTTACTGTGTACTTTTCCAGTAATCCTCTGTCAATGTCCCCTCCCGAGTACAAGAATGCATGTTTTTCTTTTAATAAGTGTTACAGCCGCTGTTTTCCTTGTGCCATTAACTCTGTTTGTGTGTGTATATGTAAATTAGCTGTGCAGTTCCTTTGATGTCATTGGCCGCCCCGTCCTCGCAACATCCGCGGTGATTGGATTGACGTCGTCCAATCCCCGCCCGCTTCTGCCACGTCATCCGGGGGAGGAGTACAGAGGCCGGGCAAGGACATCATTCGGGAGGCTCTGTATTGTGGGACAGACGCCTCTAGCCTCTCGTTGTGTTGCGGCCTTATTCTGTGCATTTTTAGACTGCTTAGCAGCGTGTTAAGCAGGTTTTTTGTGCTAGGTACACTGATTAGCAGTGTGTCGTAGGGTTTTGTGTGTAGTATAGTGTGTGTGTATTGCTTAGACCCAGGTTAGCTTAGCGCCTGTAGATCAGCCTTTGTGTGTGTATTGCTTTGACCCAGGATAGATTAGCGCCTGTAGATCGGCAACAGCTGTGTTCTCACTCAGTCTCTTTTTGTTCATTATTTTGTTCCACTTTAGAAGTGAGGTATTTTCTTTCCTTTTGTGTATTACTGTGCAGCTCCCTTTTGGAGTTCTCCTTTTGTTTAATAGTAACAGTTTGGCCCTTTGTTTGTGTATATTATTGTGTTCCTTTATAGTTACAAATAAACCACTTGTAACGTATACCAATTCTACTCTGGTCGTGATTCTTCCCTTTGGAACTCCTAGACCCAAAAGGGAATGTAACAATAAGCGTTAAAAACCCTTTCTTCCTGAGACTGATATTGTTGGACAGAGTATTTTAAGAGGATGGTAGACATGATATCGGCAATACTTCCAGTCAGTACTCCGGCAGCAGCATTTTTACACCTTGGAAAGTCTTTAGAGACTGGCCTGGATAGCTGGTCACAAATATCCTTCAGCAAAGTAACACACTCTGTCACATGGTTGCCCTCTTATGATGCTGCTGTCTTTTAATATATAATTTAGTGGGAATGCTGTTAACAGCATTCCAACTATCTGTTCTTCTACGCACGAAATTCTTTAATTTAATTCCGCCCGTTATTTTGCCGGTCTTCTTCTCCCGCATTGAACATCACAGAAACTCCGTTCAAACATCAAAACGTTCAGCTCGGTCGGGAATCGAGTGCTATTACTTTTATCATTGATAACTTTCATAATTCCAGAGATACATCCCATAATTCATCACATGTTTAACCATTGAAGTCAATGGAGAAAATCTTCAGACTTGAACAATCTTCAGGCAACTTCAACTGCTAACTGTTCCTTCATACTTTCACTCAGAAACCTCATTCCAACTTTAAAATGTTACACATCTTTCTGACATTATTCGTGTGACACAACTTTTAAATCTGATTCTTACTTTTAGAGATATTAAACATTGTTCAGACCTTGGTACAGAGGCCTTCTTCAGATTTTAACATTAACTAGAGTGCGTGATGTGACAGCTAGAGTTTAGGAAATCTTGAAATGTGCCTTCATATGTTTTTTTAAAACTGCCATAATTCCCAAACCCTACATTCCTGAGACATAATTTGTCATTACAAACGTAGGAAAACATCTCGTAGCTTGAAAAATGACAAATAATTAAGCAAAAAATAATTAAACAAAATGCCTCTTGAGGGTATGAAGGGACAAAAACTTTCAACATGTCTCCATTAAAGCCCATTGTAATTTCAGGCTGATATTTCCTCCCTGCAGCAGCCGCAAACCTTTAATTAATCTGCTAAAAGGCCACATTATTGACCCGAAAGTACACAAAAAGCACACTTACAGATACTCAAGGTCCTTGAGATGCTTCACGCTTTGAAATTTCACCGATATCTGTTACGGTTCTTCAACAAAACGTTCACATGTAAGAGGTTTATCTCTCATTCAAAACAATAGAAACCTTTGATCTCTGGACACCTCGTTAGCTCAAATATAAACACCTGTGTCATGGAACACGATGATGTCATAACTCCAACTGACATGCTCAGAGCAGCAGACTTCAGATAATGGTTAATGGTCCTGCCCTCAACAGCTCTACGTCAATTATGGGGTGTCATCATATGCCGTTTTCATGGAAATGCATCCGAGGGATGCGTTTTTGGAAGATCAAGAGGGCGATCAAGAGAAGAGAGAGAGGGCGATCAAGAGGAGAGAGAGAGGGCGATCAAGAGAGAGGGTGATCAAGAGAGAGAGGGCGATCAAGAGAAGAGAGAGGGCGAGCAAGAGAAGAGAGAGAGTCAAACTAAAGTGGAGACATGGCAGAAACCCTATAGTGAAGTGTTCTCCTGTGAGAGGGCGATCAAGAGAAGAGAGAGATGGCGATCAAGAGGAGAGAGAGAGGGCGATCAAGAGAAGAGAAAGAGGGTGATCAAGAGAAGAGAGAGAGGGCGATCAAGAGAAGAGAGAGAGGGTGATCAAGAGGAGAGAGAGAGGGCGATCAAGAGAAGAGAAAGAGGGTGATCAAGAGAAGAGAGAGAGGGTGATAGAAGAGTGAGAGGGTGATCAAGGGAAGAGAGAGAGAGCGATCAAGAGAAGAGAGAGGGCGATCAAGAGAAGAGAAAGAGGGTGATCAAGAGAAGAGAGAGAGGGCAATCAAGAGAAGAGAGAGAGGGCGATCAAGAGAAGAGAGAGGGTGATCAAGAGAAGAGAGAGAGGGCGATGAAGAGAAGAGAGAGAGGGTGATAGAAGAGTGGGAGGGCGATCAAGAGAAGAGAGAGAGGGTGATAGAAGAGTGAGAGGGTGATCAAGAGAAGGATCAGAGGGTGATCAAGAGAGAAGAGAGAGAGAGTGATCAAGAGAAGAGAGAGGGCGAGCAAGAGAAGAGAGGGTGATCAAGAGAAGAGAAGAGTCAAACTAAAGTGGAGACATGGCAGAAACCCTACAGTGAACTGTTTTCCTGTGAGAGGGCGATCAAGAGAAGAGCGAGGGCGATCAAGAGGAGAGAGAGAGAGGGTGATCAAGAGAAGAGAAAGAGGGTGATCAAGAGAAGAGAGAGAGGGCGATAAAAGAGTGAGAGGGCGATCAAGGGAAGAGAGATATGGCGATCAAAAGGAGAGAGAGAGGGCGATCAAGAGAAGAGAGAGAGGGCGATCAATAGAAGTTAGAGAGGGTGATAGAAGAGTGAGAGGGGGATCAAGAGAAGAGACAGAGGGCGATCAAGAGAAGAGAGAGGGTGATAGAAGAGTGAGAGGGTGATCAAGAGAAGAGAGAGAGGGCGATCAAGAGAAAATAGCGGGCGATCAAGAGAAGAGAGAGGGCGAGCAAGAGAGAGAGGGCGAGCAAGAGAAGAGAGAGAGGGCGATCAAGAGAAGAGAGAGAGGGCGATCAAGAGAAGGGAAGGAGGGCGATAGAAGATTGAGAGGGTGATCAAGAGAAGAGAGAGAGTAATGTAACCTCCTAATGCAATGTATAACTCCTATGAAAATGTTCAAAAAGTGCTCAAACTTCACATGTGTGCTAACAGTCCAGCCGTGAAGACATCTACGGGACAGTTTTGAGATTTCTTCAAATGCTGTTGCCATGGCAACACAATGATCACCATGAAACACGGTTTTCTCATAACTTCAGTGAAAATGCTCCAAACGGCCCAAAACTTCACAGGTTTGGTAACGATGCAGCCATCAACGCATCTAAGCGTATTATGGGATGTCATCAAATGCCGTTGGCATGGTGACAGATCATTCGCCATCAAGTTAGTTCAAAAGTTTGCAGTTCAAATATTCTGCTGCTTTTCCAAGCCTTTTTACTTTATTTTCTTCTCTCATCACACATTCAAGCCCCCAGTGTTCATGTATAATTTCAATCTAAATTCTTCACTTTCTTCTTACACATTACATTTCAGCATAGCAATTCAGCGTCAGCTTTTCAGCATTACGCATTCCCACTAGCAAT